CTTTCGTGGTTAGGAATGCCTGGTAGTAGGCACGCGCCTAACTCGGACTTCAGGACAATGGCAACGCCACCGCCACGTGACAGTCTATCGTTTCGGTAAATTTTGTGTGTCGGCGGAATGACTTCGCTGTCCTGTATATCTGAGTGCAGCCATGTTTCGGTTATCAAAGTGGCGTGGGGGTCAAAATCAAGGAGCATTGCCTCGAAATCTGTAAGTTTATTCAAAACACTTTGCGCATTAAATGACACAAGTCGGAAGGTTATTTGCTTCTGACGTCACGGAGCGGTGGAAACACGTTTCTTGCTGCTGCTGGGCAGTTTCACGCGCGTTTGTGTGCTGTCATCCCACGCATAAATGTCACCGTTTACATGAAGCTTATCATGAACCAGAAACACTTTAGCGTCGTTTTGTTTATCTGGCTGCGCAGATGTCCAGAGCAACTTTCGCGTTCGAATTGTTTCCTGCGACAAATCATGCCGGACAGAAACCTTACTTCCCTTTAGTAAATGACAATTCTTAAGAACAGACATTTTTTCACTGTGGTCTTGGAAGTGCAGTATGACTGGCCTTGTTTTCTCGGGAACATGTCTACCAAGACGATGCAGACGGTCAACACTGTTTACAGTGACCTTCAGAGTGGTTTTGAAAAGATTATTTATGACCTTGTCTTTAAGCGAGTCTCCAGTTTCGCCGGGTTGCTCTTCAATGCCAAATATAACAAGGTTGTCTTTTCTGGACCTGTTTTCGAGTTCAACAAGCCTCCTCTCTTGTAGTTTGTTCGCTTGCTGAATATCTGCAATAACTTGTAGCAGAGGAGAGTCCCGTTCTTTTTTTTGCAGCGCATCTATGTCCTTTTCTGCCTTATCCAGCCGTGTTAGGACATCTCTGACAAATGAATCTAAACTTAATTGTTTTTCATTGATCTCTCTTATTTCTTTCCGCATTTCAGATTGGCCAGCAAGAAGCTGGTCGAGTGATTCCTGGATACTAGGTCCAGGATTGGTTTCTACATCTCCTGATTGTAACAACAATGCCGATATCAAGTCACGACACACTGACGCAACGCTTCTAACTATGGTTTGTGGACTTGGTGACAGAAACAAGCACCGATCATCACTACGATAGCAGTGTACAGGATATGTGTAACTAACCTGGACAGTGAAGAAGACAGGCGTATTTAGCGTCCTTGCCATCACGATGTCACCAAGTCCACTGAAGCCGACGAGATCGTTGTGGGCGTTTATAAGTAAAGTTCCGGACGTGACGCCAGGGTAGAACGTAGGTTCCGGAAAGCTGTACACCAGGGGGAGGCGACCACGTTCCGTCGAGTCACCATTGATGCCTTGTTGATACGAAACCGTGCCGAAGTTGTCGGCGCTGAAGCTGTTGGCGCCGCTGCTTGCTATCTGACACAGCAACACCTGGACAGTGAAGAAGACAGGCGTATTTAGCGTCCTTGCCATCACGATGTCACCAAGTCCACTGAAGCCGACGAGATCGTTGTGGGCGTTTATAGGTAAAGTTCCGGACGTGACGCCAGGGTAGAACGTAGGTTCCGGAAAGCTGTACACCAGGGGGAGGCGACCACGTTCCGTCGAGTCACCATTGATGCCTTGTTGATACGAAACCGTGCCGAAGTTGTCGGCGCTGAAGCTGTTGGCGCCGCTGCTTGCTATCTGACACAGCAACACCTGGACAGTGAAGAAGACAGGCGTATTTAGCGTCCTTGCCATCACGATGTCACCAAGTTGAATTTTTAAAGATTTTTCTCGTCGACCTCCACCATCAATCTTAGTGGCAACAAAAGGGATTAATAATACTGTTATCAAGGGAAGACCGTGAAGACGTTGCACTGTTCATGTGTGTTCATCAGCGTCATGGTTGCCCCACTGGCACCATGACGTCACTTGAAACCATGACGCAGATGGCATCACCTGACACAGTGATGTCCCACCAGGGTGAGTACTGATCCACTTTACTTTTTACGAGGAAACTGAGTTAAACAAAAAACTATGCTTGTTCCTGGCGTCGTATATCCTACAGACGCTTTCAGGCAGCTGTGAAAGGGCGCCGCCATAACCTACCTTCAGTTTGTGTTTCCTCGTATTCTGTTCGCTTCACTTTATCATAGCCACAGCAGGATAGGTTATTGCCACTTTAGGTGCTACTCTGTCCTTCTCCCTAGCTGCTGGTCTTTGTGGAGTCTCGTCAACCGTCCGCTTCAGTGGCTCCTCACCTCGTAAGACAAGAAAGGGTCAGCAATGGCGGCTCAATCAGACTCGTATTTAAAGCGTCTATACTCCTACACCCCTACACTGCCAGTGCGGTAGAAACTACGCGCTTTTTTTTTTTTAATAGTTGTACGTCTATTTTTCGTCACATGATCGTGCTCCCACTCTCTGCCGCGCGCCGACAGCTCGGTGTGGTGATGGGAGTGAGGCGGCTGATTAATCCGCGGCAAGCGCTAGCTCTTAAAGGGGCGGTGCAACAATATTCAGTAGGAATGTTTTTCACTTTACACGAGCTTACTGGCACTAGTGGGACTCAAGGATACTCGCACGCAACGCCACTGACCACGCCACTGACCAAGAAACTCCTTTGTTGTGCTGTAATTTTGAGGAAAAAAACCGAGTGTTTTCATTCAATCTCTCCTTCGCAAAACCTCATGACGTAGCTGGGCGGTAGCAGTACCGCCCAGTGACGATATTTGAATGCGGCTCATAGATTGGACCCGAGCATGACGTGGACACTCGATTTAGACTCGTGATAATGTATAGCTCGAGAAGCATTCGGGTAGTGTCCTGTGTCCAATCGCTGCAATGACGACAACAGCCGAACCATAACATGTCTGGAGCTCAGCGCGTGTCCTGTGCCTCACCAACCCCAGCGCATGGCTATCATCAACATTGGCGTCATTTAATCGGCTTCAGATCACGTGGCCGCTTGTTCTGACTGCGAGTTGAGGGGGTGAACTCTGCTCGTTTTTCTTTATTTTTTTTTCTGCGACTTCGATTGCGTGTGGTGAAAAACCAACGGGTATTCACAGGTCATTAACGTCATGGGTCCGTTCCAAGCGGTATTTGCGCAAAATACAAAAATCGTTGCATCGCCCCTTTAACTCTCCGTCAGCTTATGGTTCAAATTAGTACAGAAAGATGCATCGATCGATGGTACATCAACTTTTTGACATACCAAATATAATTTTCTGCCAAAAACGACTCTAAAGACTCGCTGCTGATTCTTACTCAGTGAAACATACGCAGAACGCGGGTCAAGCGGAAACGGTTTCGGGTTCACGAAGTTCCATCATTGCTTGTTTATGTTGGCCTAGAAATACCGAGTACTGTATATTACACTTTATTAGTCGCACCTTTGTATAATTGATTTGCGAACCCCCAAAAACCGGCGGTTTTCACAACAAAAACAAAAACAAAAGTTGGTATATATGTCGAACTTTTGCATTAGTCGATCCTATATATTTGTACAGGCGGCGCGGCGAAACTGCACTGGAAAGCAAGCATATGTGTACTATGGCAATATATGGGCAAGCGATAGAAAGTTTCAATATTCTTCACTCTAAGAAAAAAGGGAGGGAAAGGTTAGCGACGGGGCGTCTTCCTCCCTTCTATTGACGGGCTCCCAAGCGGTCACGAGGAGAAGAGAGGAACGAGACATTTTTCTTCTTCTCCAGGCAGACGGGAGTAAGATTCCGCACTCCCGCCTCGTCCTCTTTCGGTTTTGTTTTTGGAGCACGTCGCGCGCATTGTTTAATAAAGGTTGTTGAGTTGATGGAGCTTCAGCATCAGCGAAGGCCGCCTGTAATTACGTCTCCCAGTCCAAACATGCAGCTTATTTCGGTTGCATTGACGTTTTTACCACTAATTTTATTAAACGAGCAAACGAAGCCGTTAGAAACAGCGAAGTTCCAGCGCCAACAGCGCCCACAGCGCTACGTCCACTGCTAAGATGGCCGCCTCCGGATTGCGGAACGACGTTTCTACGTTGAGGACGTCAAGGAGACCACGAAAACTGCGTCCAAGACAGGCAGGTCTTGCTGCACGTACCAGGGTGCCCTCTGTGCTGAGTTCGGTTCTGTTTTCCGATGCCGTGTTCCAACCGGCAATCAACGTGGCTCTGTATTTTTGTGTGTTACCAACATAGCAGCAACATCGCGATGGCAGTGTTGTGCGTTGTGAACAGAAGACTGGAATTGTCCCCGATGTGACCGTATGTTCACGTATCCGCTGTGTAACAAGATGAGATGACGTTAACTGTCGGTCACTGACGCCGCTGGTCGGGCTGTCATCGGAGGGAGCGGGGTGTCGCAAGTCGACATTCCGCTTCACATTAAAGAGTTTAAGGCCGTTTGAGAAATTACGGTGCAATCGATCGACGTGCGAATAGTCATGTTGGAACGCAAGTCCGAACCGTATTGTACAGTGGCCAATGTGACTGTCGTCTGCGATGTCCTGTTAGTTTCCTCCCCAAAACCGATTGCGCTCTGAGGAAAGGACTAACAGTATGGAAATATGAAGGAAACCACGAATATTTACAGTTCGGAATTTTAGCATTCAGGGAGGATGGCAAGTAACATCGACAAAAAAGAGCTATCCTTTATTTTGCTGTTTAAATATACTACGATCCCTGGGGTGCTATCTTGCGCTTTTTGGACTCCCAGGAGACTTGGAAGAGGGAAGTGACGTCAACGACTAGAGCAAACGCAGATTGAATGTTGACAAAAGAAAACGAAATCAACACCCAATCTGCGCTTGCTGTGTCGTTGACGTCACTTCCCTCTCCCTAGTCTCCTGGGAGTCCAAAAAGCGCAACATAGCACCCCTGGTTTAGCTTATTTTAGCTTTTATTTTTACAGAATCTGAGTAAAGAGAAGAAAAGGTAAGACCTTGTGTTTAGTTATTTAGGGTTACACATAGCGATGCCAAGGAATCGCACACTTCGTGTTTTATTAGTGCGAAACTTCATGGGCGTGCAGAAGCTTGCCAAGAGTTCGTTCCTTCCGCAATTCAAAGTTTATTGCCAGCTTCTGAAGGTCTTGAATATGAAAGCACACCAAAAGGTAGTCTTTTTAGTGGCATATCTTAGGATCGAAGACTTCATATTTTGGTCTCGGAACAGCGCAACCATATTCATTGACAGGACCTTGGTAGGCAGACTCGCATTGTGGGTTTATCACTGTAGGGTTCAGCCTGTCAATCATCCACACCTGATGCACTGAAAAAAAAAAAAAGGTTTTGGTTTGTTTTATAATTAACGTTGGCGTTTGTCAGCAATTACCCGAACATCTCTGAAACGAATACTGCTCCAGAAAAAGGTAATCGTGTCTTGATTAAATTTTCAAAGGACGCTTCGAATCCCCGGTTAACGCTGCACTTTGCCTTTAATTATACCGCATTGCTTCCGCGCCATTAAAGTCAGGAGTGCGTTAAGTGCAATAGCAGTGGGAAGTCACAGGAAAGATACCATTACGTGGCCACCATCAGTGACGGTGGCGACCGTGTGTGTTCATGCATCGTATCTCTCTAGCACATGGAGCGAAAGTTCGAGATGTGGGCTCGGACGTTGTGAGTTCTAATACCAGTATCGCCATTTTTGATAGGGACGCCTAGAGCTGCTAAATGAGCTACGCTTCGAAGAAACAACACTTTAGCCATTTTTGTGCACAAAATCAATGTTGCCAGTGACTTTAAACGTCATCTGGAATCACGGCGAAAGTTTTTCCCTCCTTCAGAAATTTCGACACAGTCTACGGCAGAGCTAAACAATATCGCCCAAGCCCCGCGAATGCTACTGTTCGCTTTGGAGCACGCCGGGATCAGTATATCAGATCCGAGATGAAGCACGCGATCCGAACGGATTGAATCGATCTCTGGATCCCCAGTGGGACATCACCAGTCCTCCTGGATCGGCGGATGCCCTTCCCGTCATTCCCCTTCCCTAAAATACCCTTCTCGCGGTTCCGGATCTCGAAACACGTGTTTTCGCAATCGCGGTGCGAACAACACGTGTTTAACGCACGAACGAAGTTAATCATAATGTGAAAGGTGCGTGTCGATAAGCACATGCATTATTATAAGTATAGCCCACTTGCTATATTCATCGGAATACTCGATAACTGTGTCCAAGTACCTTTAAATCTTCGGCCTCTTCTGCGTAGGACCCTGAAGGCAGTCGAATTAATGCGGGATATACAAGCAAACCTCGTCGTCGCTGCTACTCGAGCCGCTGCTGCTGGAAGGGCTGCTCGAGCAAACTTGACGACGGACTGTCATCAAGCAGCAGCTGCAGTAAAGCGGGCGGCACTTCGGAAGCGGCCATTACGAATTCTTCCGAGGCGAGATGCCCGTCGAGAAAGGAAGTCACATATGCGCGCCGAGGGCTGGCCAGGCTGGCTTCCGGTAGAATCCGCTGAAATATGCGGAGTGACTTTTCGCGGATCCGGATCGAGATATGGAGTGGGAGCTGATCCCAAACGACGCGTGGAACAAGTCCGTCTCGATCCCGATCGCCCTGTGAAAAATAGGTGCGCTCCAGAAAAGGCTATTCCGGCGCACTCCAGAACGACCAGTGGAAGTCGCATTAAACTCAGTAAGTCCCACTTTCGATTCGTGACGATCACCCACTTTGCACTAAAGACCAAGATGGTGGCGCCCACAACAAATTCGGGGAAAGGAGTGTCAGTACTCTACAAGCGTAGCTTATTTACTAGGGGGGTGATTTCATCTCAACTCAGGCACGGATTTAGGGTCGAATTTTTAATTTTGACGAAAAAAATATATGTTTTGGGGCAATTCCTATAGTAAAAGAAGACGCAAACGGTTATTTCGTCCGATTTTTTGTTCTCAAGTTATGGACCTTAAAGCGGTCAAGGTGGAAATTGATGTTTTTCCAGCCTATCGGAGGTGCCATATTTCAGCCCATCCCTTTTCCCTACTTTTTACGCTACATCAATATAACTTTTTGGGAACACTCTAGACATAGGCTTTTTCATGCTAATTAAGCGTCCAGGACATAACATTATTAATGATTTTTTTTTATTTGTCAAACCGCCTCTCTGTGACGATATTTGACGAAGTTCAGGAAGCTGTGCTGTGTGACCTAATCAACATATTTTTATGATCTTTATACCACCGTAAAGCGCCAATTATGCTCTTTCTTTTGATTATAATTTCAAAATTTTGCCACAAGTATATATTGCGCTACATGTGCCTGAAAAACGAATATTTCGAAAAACTAGCAAGTTTGGAATCGATTTTCTAAAAAAACCCACTTTTTATTTTTTTCATTTTTTATTCACAGTTAGTAATATAGTAGTCTATCAGGAACTACCAACAGAAATTGTAATATATTGTTTGTATGGCCGCTATTAAGACTCGAATCTCGTGCTATGAGCGTTTTGAACAGGACTTCGCACAGGCGCTCTGCTGAGCAGAATTTTGGCCTATATAAAGTTTTCTATTTATCATTAGCAGTTACCTAATATCCAACCATAAACATTAAAAAAAAATTTGAATAGTGCTCTTAAAAAAAAGTTACTTAGAAGTCCGTATTCACAAGTGCGAGCGCATCTTTTTCTCCCAATGCGGGGGAATGCAGATCGTTAGAGAAGTCCTCTGAGGCCTTTTGCTTTCGGCTCCAAACTTTTACAGATGCCACCCTAGTCAGGCGGCGTGTATACACCAACTCATCTCTGTGACGTCACGGCGCGGTGGTGGCGCGTCGGTCGCACTTCCGGTCTGGGGCTGTGGGCAGAAGTCCCCATGCCAGACGTGTATTCCTGCGTTGTTTTGAAAGGAACCAGACAAAAACCTGCCTTCTCGTCAAAACGCCGCGACTGGGGCCGTACCAAAAGTGTCGAGAAAGGTTTGAAGGTCAGTTTTCACGTGCTCGGTTCGTCCGAGAATCTGGATATGTGCCGTGAAAAGGGAAAAGCAGATGCCGCCGGACAACGATTGCTTGGGCGGGAAGCACTTTCGGTTGAATTCACGGACACTTGTGGTCATCAGATTTATTTGTTTTGTTCCAACATGAACGCCAGAAAACTGTCAAGTTGTGCGGACAACCTGTGGACTACGTTCAGTGCGTCTTCAAGCTCAAACGGCCGCCTGATCGTTCGAACTGTCGTCTGCTCTTTCAAACGTTTCTGCTTGTCGTCTGCTCTCTTAGACGACGCCGGCCGTAGATGGAATGTTGGCCCGGTACTTGCTATACGAAGTAAGTGCAGGCCTCAAAAGACTGAAGTTTGAAGGTTGGTAAGTAGGCTCGATGTAAACAGTAAATACAAGGAGATGATCATTGTAACGAGTGACTATCACTGACTTGCTATGCCTAATTGACTTAGTCCGATTCTACTTGCGATTTTCAGTATCGACGTCGACTATCTCAGCTACGGTACAAGCTTTTGCAGCCCGAGCGGCGTCGCGACTGAAAATTGCGAGCGAAATCTCATCATGCGAATCAGGTTTTATCGTACATACTGCGGCGTCCACACGGAATGAATCGCCACACGTCACATTATTCACGCTAAGTTTCGCGGTGTAACGAGCCTCGGTAATTTCGCTAACACCGCTCAAGTAGTCAGAGATCGCCAGGAAGTCGTAGAATCAACAATTCGAACGCGAAAAAGGGCAGGGGGACTCACACCGACGTCGACAACATCGCATTTCAATGGTTTGTTTATGGGCGACGGCGAGCTTTTTGCCCACACCCCCATCGCGCATGCGCGGCGCCGGTGGCGTCCGCTAGGGGCGCTCTGGTTTGTTTGTAAACATGAGTTGGTGTATAGAATACTTTATCTTGAACATCACGCGGCTACCGCCTCTATCTTCGTCGGGGTCCTGGAGCCTCTAAGGATTATGCCTTTGGATGCGACCGACACGGAAACCCTGATTGTCGGGAGAACAGGCGTTTCGAGGTTAGAGTTTACGTCGGAAGCCCCCCTCTGTCTCTCCAAGCTCCCCTCCTCGTCCTTCTAACACAACCGTGCCACTAATCCGCGGGCACTAAAAGAGACGCCGCTGCTGCGTGGCACTCAGATTACGCGCGAGGCGGAGAGCGAATGTTTAAGTATGGATCGACGGGAAGATTGGGGACCCAAAGGAAGCCGAATCTTCGCACGTCGTCTAACTGATAATAGCCTTCTCGGTCCCTTTCTGGCTCTTGAATTCCTAAGCCACGGCGGAAAGCTGGTACTCATTCTAACTCCGTGCTGTCTGAGCTGGATGAACTTAAAACTGCTCCTGCTTTCAGAAAGCCAGAAGTGTTCGTTACTGCCATGGCTAATACATTATTCAGTTCAGACCGGAAAGTGTGCGCCGACTATTCAAGGAGACACAAGAGAAGAGTGTTTTACGGACGCCATTTTCGTCAAGTCTCGGAGCTAAACCTAAGTTTTCTTAAGCAAGTTCTACCGGCTGAGGACGCCCAGCGCGTAAGCCCTGGAGGTGTTCTGTGCAATAACTGCTACACAATGTTCTTGGGTCAGATTGAAGAACATAAGCAAGGACACAAAATGTTGTCATCAAGCTCATCGTCATCATCCCTGAAACCAGCGGACAGATCATTCGTTGACGAGGAAGCCCTGGTCCAAGGAGTGTCTAAAGCAATTGATGCTGCCGAAGTAAGTGTGACAACACTTAAACTCCCTTCTAGCGTGACTCCACGAAGTCGTACCGGCTATGTTAAGCGAAAAAAATCCGAGATAACCGCGGAATTCAAAAAGAAAATTGGTCGTAAACTAAGTGACGTGTACGGAGAACCTACGGGCACAGACAAAGAAGATCCATGCTCCTCGTGCTCCGACTGGGTCAGCAATTTACGAGCAGCCTACGTCAAGAGCGCGTCGCAGCTAGAACGCTACCACCTTTTAACTCTCTTTCCATCTAACCTCAAAAAGAAAGATATCCTGAAAGCAATTCCTGAAGTGACGAAGCATGCTTTGGACCAATCAAGAAAGCTGAAAAAAAAAAATGGGGGTCTGGGCGTCACCTGACCCATACCAAGGACATGCTCTCAACGAAAACGATGTCGCTCTTGCGTTGACTTACTACACATCAGATGCAAAAGACTGCTCAAGACAAAGCCCGAACAAGAAGGATGTCGTAAGGCTTTTTATTGATGGTCAGGAAGTCTTCGTCACGAAGCGATTTATGACGAGATCTATTAGGGAAACCTACAAAGAATTCAAGGCGGCCAATCCCGAGTCAAAAATGGGCCTTACAAAATTTTATTCTCTTCGGCCCAAGTGGGTTAAGAAGCAGCCTGTACATGAAGAGTGTGTGTGTGTATGCTGCGCCAACTTCATACTCTGTCTGACATCTCTGTCAAATGCGGCGGGGAAGACCATGACCTTTGAAGACATCCAGAAAATGTTTCTTTGTGAAAATCCTTCCCAAAACCTCTTCTTGCTGAGGTGTGAAGCCTGTTCGAACCGGAAGGACATATCCCTCGAGATGCTAGGGATGAGGGCTGAAGATGAACTGGAGTTGGCACTGTGGGAATCTGGTGGCGAGTTGGTGAAAAAACATTTGGAGGCCACTGCTTTTCTTAACGAACTCAACAAGTGGACGAAGAAATACATACCCCACTATTATATTCGGCGCGCACAACAGAGAGCAATATGGCTTGAAAAAGCAAATGTGAAGCCACGTGTCGTAGTCCTCCACTTTGATTTCGCCGAAAACTGGAGTATTGTGCTCCAACGTGCAGTGCAGGGATACCACTGGAAAACCAAGATGGTGACAATCTTCACCTGCGTTGCGACGACCACGAAGGGAACACTAAGTTTCGGCGTCGTGAGTGACGATACCTGTCATGATTCTGCACAAGCGCTCTTTGTGCTCACAATGATTGAAGACAGGCTCGAGGAACTCGTGCCCGTTTTTTTGGAGCTGATCTATGTTTCGGACGGCGCTCCAAGCCATTTCAAAAATCGGCACCAATTACACGAATTTCAGAAGAAGTTTGTCGTCAGCAAGTGGATATACTCGGCGTCAGGGCACGGCAAAAGCGCGTGCGATGGAGTGGGTGGTGTGCTGAAGCATCATGCGTCACTGCATAACTTGAAAACAACTGAGCTGAGCTCCATAACTAACGCGCGTACGTTCGTTGAAGCTCTCGGCCAGAAAATCAAGGGGATAACGCTTCTCTTCATCGACCAAGAGGAGCTGTCCCGTTATCGGGAGCTTAAAAGGAAGGAGTGGGAGAAGGTAACCCCATCGAAAGGCATCCAATCGTCTCATGTGTGGAGCAAAGCAATGGGGGAAGGGGGAGGTGATATGGTCCTAGAAAGAGTTTACAAAACCCCAGAATAGACAGAGCTAAATGGTGGGACCGTGAAAAGGCCGGACCGTTTCAACAGTGCCTTCATCCTTGTCCCCCTGTGAGTGCGCGCTGTGTGATCAAACGACGCGCCATAGACTTTGACACTGAACTGACTGCAATTTGGACAAAGCGAAAACTGGCTCAGAATCGCATCAATCTATTGTCTCGAAATGTGCTACGTCGAAAGATGACTATCCCTATCCCAGGTGTTTATCACTGTTTTTGTGTGAGCAGCGCCATGTATAGTATTGAAAAGGTACTGCGTCGTCTATCCGTAAACCAGACGGAATTTGGCGGTGTTCAATTCGTTTTAAAGTTTATATTTGTATTAACTTTGAGTGTATTTTATGTTAATTAGGAGTATATGAGACATTTGGTCAACACATTTTGATATATTTTATGCAATGAACATGCTTAGGCTACAACATGAAATATTACTTCCCTTCTCTGGTTACGTGTCGCATCTTGAGTTTAAAATTCCGAACTTTATATGTAATTGTCATATTTTCTTATGTCAAACAGATATGCAGTGCATATACATATGTGCGATTTAGTATCTGAAGCTTAGGAAGTACGGTCTATTTTGTGCACATACGGGCTCTTTCGTAAAATAACGAGCATTTCGTGGCGTGTAAGGACGAGCATTTCGTGGCGTGTAAGTCTTCAAATGCGTTAGTCATGTGTTTAGGTTTCATTTCTATTTGCAGTGATTCATGCCAGGTTACTTAGACTTTTCCCTCGTGACTTAAGTTTGTCCGTGAGTTTAGATGTTATGTACTTCTCCGTCAATACATAAGGCGAAGCTCACACACCTTTCAAATCACCCCAGTGCCAAGTAAATAAATGTTGTAAGGATAAATATTGTTACTTCACTTGCTTTTACGCTCAGATATTGTGGTAAGTACTAACATTAAATAGAAAACTTTACATTGGCCAAAATTCTGCTCAGCAAAGCGCCTGTGCGAAGTCCCGTTCAAAACGCTCATAGCACGAGATTCGAGTCTTAATAGCGGCCATACAAACAATATATTACAATTTCTGTTGGTAGTTCCTGATAGACTACTATATTAACTAACTGTGAATAAAAAATGAAAAAAATAAAAAGTGGGGTTTTTTAGAAAATCGACTCCAAACTTGCTAGTTTTTCGAAATATTCGTTTTTCAGGCACATGTAGCGCAATATATACTTGTGGCAAAATATTGAAATTATACTCAAAAGAAAGAGCATAATTGGCGTTTTACGGTGATATAAAGATCATAAAAATATGTTGATTAGGTCACACAGCACAGCTTGCTGAAATTCGTCAAATATCGTCACAGAGAGGCGGTTTGACGAATAAAAAAAAAATCATTAAGAACGTTATGACCTGGACGCTTAATTAGCATGAAAAAGCTTATGTCTAGAGTGTTCCCAAAAAGTTATATTGATGTAGCGTAAAAAGTAGGGAAAAGGGATGGAGTGAAATATGGCACCTCCGATAGGCTGGAAAAACATCAATTTCCACCTTGACCGCTTCAACGGTCCATAACTTGAGAACAAAAAATCCGACGAAATAACCGTTTGCGTCTTCTTTTATTATAGGAATTGCCCCAAAACATATATTTTTTTCGTCAAAATTAAAAATTCGACCCTAAATCTGTGCCTGAGTTGAGATGAAATCACCCAGGGAGTGTTTGCTAACGTACACTTTCTTACGTTTGCTATGGATCAATCGGTTTCCAGGCTTCACACAAAGCACAGATTTTCCGGTGACTATGGACGTAAGTGGATTCACAAGATCCCGTAACACGACGCAAAGTACGCAAACGATGCTGTGTGAACGGGCCTTTAATGCAGTAATCGCCACTGACTAGTTGAGTATACTATAGTGTTCTTCATTTTCAGGTAAAAACTGATATTTGCCAATTTGTGCACCCCGAACAAGCTTTAGACAAATTAGCTTAAACCCGATTCCTCCCCGAAAAACCGTCTTCTTCAGAAATGTTTACCAGAGGGCGTAGCCTGAAAAGCAGGTGAAAGTGACGAAATTAGGATCAATTCTAGATCTGTTCTTAAAATGTCTCCTATTTCAGCGATTTGATGATTACAAGTCTCTTCTAATTTTTGTTAATGCTGACATACATTTACTTCGCAGTGAGCTTAAAAAAGCACTTGCTGGAAGCGAGTACATAGAGCATAAGTATTGACTGACGGTCTATTGGCATGACATCATTGCCTCTTACCAATAGCCTAGAAAATGTCGTGCGAGCGTTGTTGTGCATGACAGGTGGAAGCTGTCATGCACAACAGGTGGACGTTCTTGGGCTTTCCGTGCCCAGTGCAAATGTTGAGCGGGCATTCTCGAAATTGCGCGTCGTCAACAGGAAGGAGCGGGCGTCAGTGACAAAGAAGATCCTAGGAATCTATGCATGCATATGCTGCAGTAATGAAGTGTGAGATTGTGTAAAAGATATAAATAAAATTTGGACTGTGTTTCCCCTTTAGTGGTAGTTTACGTCGCAATCCCCCCCACTCCCTTCCCCGATAATCACCGTTTTTATCGTCTGCACGGGAGACTTCACCGAAAAGCACCACTATTGGTGCACACCGATAAACATCCGCCGATTTTTGTCATAAATAAACACCGGAAAGTATACACCCTATAACTATAACGCACAAAAATGCGATCATTTCCGACCCGCTTGTTATGGTCATAACGCTAAAGTTGTGGCTTGGGCGAGTTGGTACAGACTTCGAAATTAAAAACAGCGCGAAAAGACGAGGACCAGACAAAGAAGTAACACGGACGCAGCGCTGCTTCCTAGTTACTTTTTATGTCTGGTCCTCGTCTTTTCGCGCTGTTTTTAATTCCGAAGTAATAATTAAGATAAATAGGGAGTTGTCGTAGATCATTTCCGCTGTCCCGCAACGCTCTCCGCAACCCGCTACGATACGTGGAACTCTACAGTCAAGACCATCACCGCGCAGGCGCAGTAGCGGCTTCTTCGTTGCGGAGGGCTTAGCGGAGGGGGAAACGTGGTCTACGAAAATTCCTTAATATCCCACTTTTTACGTAAATCATAAAGGCGCAGATTTCTGTTGTTGTATAATATTGAAATTGTGTCCCATCTTGCCCTGCACCTTTATATTGACTACTATGCTGTTTTCGACATGGATAATTGAAATCACCTAATGTAAATCGGCAGCATAATGCACCCGAATTCATTATACCGAGGAGGTCCATAGCAGTAACTGCTAAATTCAAGAGTGCAGACGTATTACGGTTAGTTCATGGTGGCGTCGTGACTAGGCGCAATGCCACTACCAACACACACTCACAGTTGACATTGCCACAGAGTGTGCAAACACCATCATGCTTGTCAACGAAAGTATGGGAGTGCAATCATTTTTCGTCTTCCTCCGAAATACGCTAGATTGCTTTAAAATGGCAAAAGCAAGCGGTGACGTTGCATCGGAAATATCCATTTGCTTAGGAGAAGTACAGAAGTCTTCAAACATGGCTATCGCGTCAAATTTACGTAAAAGGTTAATCGTTTATTTAGTCCAGCAAAGAGCAGCGGTTCTGATCTAAAAAAAAAAAGAACGTGTGAGTTAGTTTTTTTAAATTTTTTGTCGTTAGCTCTCATAAAATTTTAGACGTCCTTTTCGAGGCTTTCTTGTGTAATTGGAATAAAAATACTTCAGAGAAAAGGAAAGTGCAGGCTTACGGTCGTCACTCATTCTCCTTAAGGTGAAACAGGTTTGATAATCAGTAAAAATCAGCTCATAAATTGCGTATCCTGAAATTTATTGTTAAACAGAAATTACATTAGACGTTAGCTTGATTAATAAATGAAGTTAAGTCGAAGACGCTACTATCACAGGACGTTTCGTTTCATCTACAGGCCTTAGAAACAAACAAAAACGCAATATCTCAGGTTCACACTCATTCCAGAGTTAGTCTTCGTATATTTGCAGTAATCCTCTTTTTTAGATTAGAAATTAACTAATCAAATAATTAATTAATTTGTTTTGTCCTTTGCGGTATTGAGGAATAATTACTTCTTAACATGGAAGCTTGCAATGAGTATTGTGGCCTTACTTGTAGCGATACTGTTTTGTACTACCAATCTGTCATAGTAATTGAAAGTTTTGTTAGATTTCTCCAGCACGATTGTGACGGAATAACTGACCCTGGAAGCAAAAACAGAAAAATATTTGATATATCAGTGGTCAGGATGAAATAATAAATGTAAAGGTTAGAACTACATAGTTTGTGTAATTTCTATCGTATTTAACTATAATTGAAAATGAAAGGTTACTACTGAATAGCAGTGATTACATATTGTTATAATAAGGTAATCGATATCTGTAACCTTCATTTTAAATTTGAGTTCTGGAAGCTCCAGAAAATGTATGAGCTAAAAAGACCCCAAATATATTGATTCCACAAATCGCAGTTAAACCACATTTAAACCACATCTGTGAGCATATAACTTTTCAAGAATATACATAGCTAAGTAATCTAGGTCATCTGTCAAAGTAACACAATCAAGCCCCCGCACAAGCCCATGAAGTCCTGTTGATTTCCTGGATATTTCAACCAAGTAATATACACTTCAGTCGTGCCGTTGTTTATATTTATTCCAAAACGTTATTATATTTATCTTATTTTTCTGTTCCTTTTCGCATTTATTTTCTCGCTTGGCCAGTTATCGATGGTGACATAAACGCCTAGCCCAAAGTAGTTTACCATTAAATCGTAATTATTATAAAACAAAATTGTTCTCAGCGCAAAAGCACCCCGACACCTTGGAGGCCCTCGGCTCAAACCTGACACGTCTGGTTTCCTCGCAGGGCCGCTCGTATTCAGAAGACCCCTTCCCCCTTTTGTTCCCCGAGCCGATACCATACGGTTATTCTTAAAAGGTTAATGCGTGGTGCGGGGTCGTGAGGTAGGGCAACGAGCGTAGTGTTTGTGAATATCTCGAGCTCGCGTTACAATACATCATTTTCAAAACGCCCTCTAGTAGCTTCCATATTTTGGGCATCCACTCTGAGCACGCATTGGACACGAGTGAAACTACGTCAGTGCTCGGCGCGTGCTCGGCGTGAACTCGGATGCAGTCACACGTCGCGCGCAGAAAGTCATGTCCAAGAAATGGTGGCCTCTGGTGTTGCAAAGCGGACTTCTGAAAAAAAAAATTCCACTTCCAAAAAAGTCCGGAGGGCTTGAGCGTGTGGTGCTGCAGCTTGCCACAAGGAAAGACTGCGCAACGCAATGTGCTCAGGAAGTCTCAGGACGAGCACGTGTGGTTTTAGCCACCGAATAGTCATGGTATCACATGTGGGGACCTCGCCGCGATTTTCAACCCGCATCCAATTCAAGACCGTAGCCGTAGATACATGGATGCGACCGTAGCGCATCGAATCAGGAAATGAAACAAATGACGATTGTCATTCCATGGGTAGATGAAGAACCAGCCGAGTCTGGGCGCGTGTGCTTGGCTCACCTTGAGTTCGATGCGCTACTATCACGTCCATGTTACACGCAGCCTGTTATCCCAATGACGCTGTGCAGTCCACATCGACGGAATGACAGTTTCAGCTCCTCAACGAACCCTTTTCATGGTGTTTCTGAGGTTATTCATTTAAACAGTGAATACTAAACCATTTGCACCCATAGCTTGTTGCATGTTTAGAATACTAGGACAAATCCCTCTCACAACGCTATCTGTGGTGTTTCCTCCTCTCCCATCAGCTCCTCTCCAGCGTTATTTCTGCCAAGGTGGAAAGGGTGGACGTATTTGTGGGAGAAACTTGTCTTGGTAGTTTAAGCCAGCAACACACTATTTATAGCAGTGCACCCAATGAAGGGGCGCCTGGCTGAGTACAAAAATTACAAATATGAAGCTTTAAGCATCGTGATTACTGAACTCAGCGCATCAAATCAACATTTGCTAAAAAGAAATAAACATAGAAGCAAAAAAAAAAAAAAAAAAAAAAAAAAAACAACAGTAAACGAGTGTTTTAGACCATAATTCGTTTATGCCTGGGTTTTATGCGAAACGCGCTATGTTCGAGTTTGACGAAAAATCGTTACGCGTAGGTGAAGGGCACTTAAAGGGGTACTCCGCCGATTTCTTCATGGTCCCCGATTTGCTTGAAATTTTGCTAAACTCGCCAAACAACATCGCCAAAATAGTATCCCAAATATTATGTCAAAATAATTTTTTTTTTCACGAAGTTATTGAATTTACAATTTTGGTCCTCACCGTGTTTTTCAAACTGAAAGTCTCTACTGGCAACAATGAAAAAGTGACGTCATTGGAAGTGCAGGGGTTCACTCTTTGGACTGTAAAATTTGTTCCCAACTGATTCGAAGCAGTTTCTTGGTGTCAAATGAATGCTTTGGAAGCTCGCTCCAGTCCCCGCGCTCCAGCACGGAACAATATTTGGCATATTCTATTTTTTAGACTGCTCACCCGACTGGCAAGCTCACCTTCCACTGACATTCAAATTCATTCAAATATACCCGCCCTGAAAAGGGCGGGTATATTTGAATGTTTGTTCTTGCATCATTTTCATTTGCCGATTTTGCAATAACTATTATGAATTTCACGATACTAAATAGTATACCAGAAAGGGTAAAGGCCGGGGAGTCAGAAAATATAGTTAGTTGCGGTAGCTCAAAAATCGGCGGAGTACAGCGTACACAGCCCATAGCAGGCAAACAGAAGCTTATAAAACGCATCGTTCACCGTACTTGATTGTACGTAGTTACAACTGAAAATAACTAATCGTAACAACCACCATTGACCCAGCGACTCACTAAAAATCGAATCCCGGACCGTGCAATACGCATCACAACACATTTGCTCGACGCCACGAGGAGGAGTTGAAAATGGCCAAAAACAGCTGGACTATTGTGCAGGAGATCGAACTATAGGGGGAGCTTTATCGAGCTTGTTGTCCCCACAGCCCGGTGTTTACTAACACAGAATAACAAAGAAATTGAACCTCGCCATGCACGGTTCTGGACACGAGCGCTTCACTCTTACCAGTGCTTTGGTCGCACGAGGAGTGGCCATCCGAATCGTCGCCATCGATATCGCTGATCAAAAACAAACAAGGAAATTCGGTTTGTTGTTCCCACAGCTGAAGCATGCCGCCAGAGGCATGACTGTTCGATCTCCTCCCCAATAGACGATTGCAAGCTGGGCGACTGGCCGCCGCCATGTCTCTGCTCGTGCAGGCATGCCCGTGCGATTACGAGCTTGCCAAAGCTACGTTCACCCGCGCGTTGCACGCGCTTGCACGCATGGGGCACCACTTGTGGCGCCATGCTTGCAATTGTCTATAGGTATGACTTACGGGAGCCTTCGTTACCCTAGTCAACCCTCGGCGCGTGCAGCTGACTCTCGAATGACGAAGCGTACCATCCAACGTGATCGCACGACGTTACGGGGCGGATCGTAACACACCAAAGGATAGCGCAAAGGCTGTTTAACGTCACGACTTCGCAAAGCAGCGAATTGAAAGCCGTAGCGGTCCCGACAAACCTCCTTTCTCTCTCGATTTGCTTAGTGAGCGCTAGGGGCTCCTCACAATCCGAGAGCACTATGGTCTCAACGTGCTACACGGACCCTTAAGCCCTGGTCAGACTGTTCGTACATAATACCTGAGTCCTCTGATAATACCTAAGACAGTCTGCAAACACGAATCATTGAAATATCCATTGTTGGAATGCCGCGTGCCAAGTTTCTTCTTGAACTCATTACCATGCGGCATTCGAACCACGGATATCGCGGTGATTCGCGTTCGAATCTGATTGTCTTTGGAAATCCTCTCATTAAAACATGACAGTGAATCTCTACTCGTGAAGAGATTTAAACTTGTGCAGATCATTCTGATAAACCCTGAGATCACAAGATTGTCGTGTGTGCTGCGCATCTGAAACCACCCAAAGCTCCTCGCTAACAAGCATAGCACATCATAGAGCACGTATTGCCCATTATCTGTGCTTCCCGCGTCTACCAGAATGACAAACACGAGTCTGTACTCTGTTCACCCCTAAGCTGACAGTGCAACGGAAGCTACATACTCTCCGGACCAATCAACCGCCTTCCTTTCCCCACCTGACCGCGCACTCTGCGAGCACATGACAAAATATAAACATTTCACTGGTCCAACGAACATCCAGGTGCTACCGCACTGTCAGCTTAGGGTTGAACGGAGTCTAGAAAATGTTGCCGTATAATGCTACGATCACATTGACTGAGGACTTAAGACGGACGGCTTAAGAATCGCCACCCTCTGGGAGTCGTAAACTGTCCGTGACTATAGCACTTGTTATGTTAGTGAGAGACTTTGCGGAACGTTGCAGCCCGATAAGTTGCGCAAGACTAAATAAAACGACAACTATAACGTTGCCATTTTCTTCGGAAATTGTCACAAAAGCAATGTACATACATGTGGCCTGTCGTGTCATTTCTAAAAACTAGGTGGGTTAAGAACTCTTTCTTTACTGGGTCAGCTTCGTAATACTTCATTTGAAAACACTTCGATTCTCCTCCTAATTTAGTGTCGTTTTTTTCGGAACGATACAGGAGGTAAAACTTCTGGGGTTTAAGGAACAACTGCAAAAAGAAAAGAGGGTAAATAAACTTTTTAGTAGACTTTGCTCGTACTGACACGCATGCCTTCCAGAACCGGGATTGGCTAGATGTAATACGTTTCAGAGCCTATGAGAAAGTTTATACAAATAACGCAGTATCGGACATAGTTGAAAAGTTCTAAAAACATTGTCGAGAACGAGGCAACTGCCCAGAAATGACGAAACCAAGAACCGCGCATTAAATCACCTTGCCTTCAACTTCAATCCGGTCAATAGCTTTCAATGAGACGCCCAGCAGCTAAAATGCGTAGCATTTAGAAGTTATCTGCTCATGTCTGCCGAAATCCAGTCTGTTGCACTGATTCCACCTGATACCGAACGGATTGTGCGTGGACTGGCGCTTGAACTAGAGTGTACAAAAATACTGGGACCCCCGGAGCGGGTTGCGTGAGTCACGCTGTGTAGATGGCGACAGCTGTCGAATTGTCGCTTTACCGGTACAATGTGCACGTACGCGAAGACAGCACTTGTTTCTTTCAGGCATTTGTTCAAAGGTTGCAATGTCTGAACATACGTCTGTTGCGGCAGTATTTTGGAACGCTGAAAAGGGACGTTTCATCCTTCACCTGTGTGTACCCCGTCCGACAGCCAGGAATACAGCACCTGCAGGTCGGCCTCCGTTTCGCTTACGTCATTCCGACGCTACACTTATGTGTTCGCCATCCGGCAGAGCTAGAGCCACTAAATGAGTTACTCTTAAAGAATCGGCCCTCTGTTCCCAATATTGTTGTGGTCGCCGCCATCTTGGGGCCTGTGCAGAGCAGACGCAACTGCGGATCGCCATTATTCAAAAGTGCGACTTCCTCAGCATTTGCTTCGGTGTTAGGAAGCTCATGCTATACAGCTTTGCTCTTTCGCCAACTGTTCAAACATTTCTGGCAGACGGAAAAGAGTTTCTTGTGATTGCTAATAAAGCTTCAGATAACTGGCAACCACGAGTTTAAGCCACAAGATGGGTCAGTGTTGTTATTCTGAGACGTAGCTTATTTAGTGGCTCTAGACAGAAATATCGCAGTACACTATATTCGAAACATATCCCGAGAGAATGCAGATAACCATAAGTTTGCGGCCAGGTCACCACGAGATATATGCCGACGCCATAGAGTGCACCGTCGTATCACAAATAGCAACGACAGTGTTGTGAACACTTGGCACAATTTATGCCTCAGTTGGCGGTCTACACCCGATATATTGATCGCAGCGCCGCGTGTCTCACCACCCGTGGCCGTACACGCTCCTATTGCCGAGCCGCAGGGTCCCAGCCACCCCGTATTCTAGTACACTGACTTATACTGACGGTCGGCCGCTATCCAGTGCCGTTTAAAACCGTGGTGACACCTCAAATCCATCATGAAAAAGACAGTCTACAGACACTGTCTGAAGCGTGTTTCTTAATTGTATGAAGGTCCTGAAACATCGGACATAAAAAACTCTCTGCAGACATGTTCCAATCATACATATTATGAAGCCAACAAGATTCGAAGGTTACTTGAGGCGTGTCCGGAGATAAATTTGTCGTCATGTCTGCAGCCAGTTTTTTTTTGTATGATGCATGAGCAGTGGGACTGTGGCTTTAGATAAATTAGATCATACGGAGGGTACGTGGACAATGAAGTTTTCAAGAGTCCTGTTCACAAACTTACCTATAAACTAAAAACAACTCTGGTCACTGAGAAAATAAGTACGACAGGGCGTGCCTTCGGAACATCCGGCCTCCAAGAGGGGCTTAAAGTGGCACTGACAGCTTCAAAATTATTTTTTTTATTATCCGAAACGATTGAAATCGTTGTTTGGGCAATAGCCTCAAAATCGGAAACTCGGAAACTCAGTATTTGTGAAGTAAAAAAACAATTTCCCAAAGCCGTATTTGAAGTTCACGGTCAGTACTTCAGTTTGGGCGAGTTGGTGAATTATGTTAATACTTCACAGCGCACAAAAGACAACCATCAAATCCCATTCACACAAAGAAACAACACTCACGGAGCGCTGAAGCACGTGGAGCGAAAGCTCGCGCTGCAGAACCCAGGGATCCTGGGTTCGAGCCCCACACCTGCCCGTTTCGATCTGGATGAGCATCGTACCGGCGTGCGGTCGTGTATCACTACTGCGTGGTGCACGTTAAAGACCCCAGGCTAGCAGTTGTACTGCACTGGCTGAATTGCTCATCTACAGCTGGGAGACTCGTCGCCCCTGTGAGGCAGACCAAGTTCTAGGCTGTATAAACATACACACAACCCAATTTTTTTTTCACGGAGCGCTGACTGTTATTTCCGGTATAAATTAAACATCATCTTCGTTATGTTTTATTCTTACGCAGTAAAAAGAAGAAAATAAAATTAACCAAGGAAGAGCAGAGAAGGAACAAGAAAAAAAAAGTGAAAGCCGTTTACAACTCCCTGTAACGCCGAATCGGAGCGCAGCTCTTGAAGAGGAGGAGTGAAGGGTACTGAGGGAGGGTAGACCCCTCCTGCTTCTCCTCCTCCTCCCCTCATTCTTTAATATGCTCCGGGGGGGGGGGTCACGAGACCTCGGGGGGGGGGGGGGGGGGTGTCACGTGACTTCGGGGAGGGGGTCACGTGACCTTGGGTGGCACGTGGGGGTCACCTCAAGGTCACGTGACCCCCAAGGTGACCCCCACGTGACCTCAGAGGATCACGTGACCTTGGGGAAGAGACCACGTGACCTCGGGGGCCACGTGACCTCAGAGTGTCACGTGACCTCAAAGGGGTCGCGTGACCTGGGGGGTCACGTGGGGGTCACCTTGGGGTCACGTGACCTTGGGAGGGGTCACGTGACCTTGGGGAGGAGACCACGTGACCTCGGGGGTCACGTGACCTTCAAAGGGTCACGTGGGGTCGTCTTGGGGTCACGTGACCCCTCCCAAGGTCATCTCAAGGTCACGTGACCCCACGTGACCTTGGGATGACCTTGAGGGTCACGTGACCTTGTGATGACCTTGGTTACGCCGACGCCGACGCCGACGGCGACGCCGACGCCGCTCAAGCCGGGAACGGGCCCCCAAGAGCTGCGCTCTAAAATAACGAAAAGGGAAAGGAGAGATGAGGCAGGGAGTCAAAGAAATAAAATGCAGAACAAAAATAAAACGAAAAGAAAGAAATGAAAGAGAATGAGATCGATTCCGACTACAGTAAAGCCACTAGGGAGGTTTTCCTAAATAATCTAACTCTTTTTGGATAAGGTAATCGATCGGGTGCTAACACATAATCCATCTAGCAGGTCTATGTTAGCGGCTTCGATAATTTCTCTAGTTAGTTTGTTCTTGCTTCGTCCCAGTACCGTACAATTGTTTACAAGGGGGGAGCATCCACAATCTCCGCAATGAATGCTCGGGTGACCTGAGTTAGCGTTAATGGCGTTGTTGTTATGTTCTCGAAGCCTATCGTTAAGACAGCGACCTCTCTGCCCGACGTAACGCTTCCCACAGACAACAGGGAAAGAATCAACCACTCCTGCACAGAAAGTTGTATATTATAGGGTCAGATGGGGTTTCGGTGCGCTTGGGGGGGGGGGGGGGGGGCGCTAAAGCCTCATAAGCCTCTCCCCTATAGCTACGCCACTGGTACGAAGGTAAACGAAAAAGTATAGTCCTTTGATCTTGGAAGGATAGTACATTCCTTTTTTCTAAATTACATGTAATCCGCGAGGTTAGAGGAACAGGTTAGCACTCTGCTTTGTAAATAAATATTGCTAATCTGGTTATGGCCGAATGCACGGACCGGTGCAGAAACCCCAATCAAAAGGCGAAATCACGAAGGAGGGCATTCCAAAAGTGAAAAAATATAATTAAGTGACTCTCACGTTGCCACGCTTTCGGGCGTTCAGCGTACATATTTGAGGTCGTCATTTTGAGCGTATGCTCACAACTGGCTGCTACCTATTGTCGTCCGTGAACAACATTCCTGATTGGGCGGAATTCACGTTGAACGTACGTAACCGTGCATTTCAGCCAAATAAGATACCTATTCTTTTGGCGGACGATAAATGATTGCTATAGTTCTAAGCTTGCGCTGTGAACAACAACCTTAAATGACGTCAAGTGATAACTTTATATGCTCTATGTCACAAGCTGTACGTGTGAAGAGGTCAAAAAACGTTTGGAACTAACCTAAAAAAAAAAATGAACCTGGCTTTTCTGCACTGGTGTCGTTGAAAACGAAGCTCAACACGTGGCTCAAACTTGAGCCTGAAATTAAAGTTACGGTGTCCCAACTAAGCCCTCGTTTTGGGAAAGTCCACACTAACAAACCGTGTCACTGTAGCCCTCAGAAACAGTCATGCTTGCTGGCATGTTTTTTTTTTTCTTTTTTGCCATGGTGTGTGGCCAACTTATACACCCTGACTGTAATAAGTCAAATAATATTTTAGCGTCAACTGTGTCTATTACACTTCATTTACTAAAATTTAAGAGCTTGTGGCGTTGCGAAAGGACGGTTAAAAGGGGAAGGGGTGTAGCAACGCGATTTTTATGTGTTTGGTAGGTCCCGGGGGACCGCCGTTCGTGAAACACTGGCGTACGGAAATTGATTTCAAAAACCACGCTACCCCATACTTTCTTCTAACAGTGCCGCACAAAGGTCAAAAGTCTCGACGTAAAGCATATAGCGATCGCTTTCTGCTGCTCGGGCAACCAGTATACATACCTTCCACGCGTCTTTGCTTGTGGGTGAACCGGAAATAACGCCTTTGATTGGTGCATCGCAATAAGCGAAAGGACACACTGCCAAGAGAACTAGCAGAATCATGATGTTGTACCTATGGTGTGTAACCCGATATGCGTGGTAGATAAAATGCGGATTTATATAATACTTCCGCATTTGAAAACTTATGGAATAAGGAAAAAGAAAACAGCTGACAGAGTAAGTAGGAAGACTCTACGAAATGGCAACGACCGCGCTGAACTGTGAACATGGTAATGCTGGTATACAGAAACAAAAAACTCGAAGAAATAATAATAAAAAAAATAGAAAAGGAAATTATGAACCAGGAATTGAGCAAGTCGACAAACCAACTCTGCCAAGCAAAAAAAAAACAAAAAAAACGACATTGTTATTATTAGAGTTTCTTCTTTTCATAATCACCGTTTCCCGTGAACTCGGCATTCTAGGGTGCCTCCACGTGTGTTTGCTTAGAGTAGAGACATCTGGCCATTTTCTCCGACACGTTTATTTTTCTTTTTTGTTCAGAAGAGCGTGAAAGAGCGTGTTCCTGCACGCGTTTGCGGTGCTGATTATGCTATGGCGACATTTTGCTTTCGTCGATTTCTTTGTATTTTTCCCCGTGAGCGCGTGCTGTCGGAATCGGGTACTACAAAACAGACTTGTACGTAATTCAACAGACCGATCTCACTAGCTAGTTTGAGTACGCCACCGCTGCCGCCATGCATCGTGGGAGCTGTAGTCTTTCTGCACGCGTGATAACCCTGCTGGAGGTCTGCGCGAGCCAGAGCACGAGGCGGCATGAGCTGTCTCGTGAACTGGCGTCTGCCTCCTACGAACTACAGTGATGGCGGCGTCACGCATGCGTGGAACGCTTGGTGAGATCGGTCTATTGCTCGACTCAAGTTTCTGTAGTTTAACTACTTTTATGAGTATTTTAATAACTTTAAATTACATTTTAGAGCGCAGCTCTTAGGCGCCCGTTTCCATCAATGTAACCCTGTTTGGCAGTCAATGTTTTCTAGTGGACCGCTGACTGTGCCTGACTGTACGTCAAGCATGTCTGATTGGCCAACAAGTTACTCTGACCGACAGTCAAACTCCAGTCAGACCCCGCTTGTCGGCTTTCTGATGGTTTCCTGGTGGCAGTCGGCCGTCGCGAAATGCCATCAGGATGTCTTGGTGGTGATTCTGACTGTACATCGATTGTCTCTGACTGTACGTCAGAAAGCTTTGACGTGCAGACAGACGTACGGTCAAAGGACGTAAAGTTCGTTCGGATACCACTATTTCGTCCAATCTATGAATGCGAAAAGTAATCTATGCCCGAGAAAACGATTTTGGGACGTGAGCCCATAAAACCGCTGACGTTAGAGATATGACACGCAACCGACCGACAACCTTGATCAGAAGCCCGCCGAAGCGCCGAACACGACACTTCGCACTTCGCTTCGCCCATAGAGGCTTCGCCGAGCTTTCATGAACGATCGCTCTCGAGTCGTTTTGTTTGCCCGCTCGCTCCAACCTGTCGATCCTGCCCGGGCTCTACAATGTCTTATGTTTTAGTAGAATTTCTACTCGACAAGACCCAGCCTGTTGTGAGTTCCGACGATGTAAGGGACTTTAGCGGTGTAGTTGAAGACGACAGGGTGTACCAGGAGGGCTATGTTCGACAAATGTTTCATTTCTTCTAAACAGAAACGGAAGTGGCGAAAGTGGCGATATCGCGTCTGATAGGTTAGAGGCTCAAATGACGAAAGTTCCCTCTTTCGTCATTTAAGCCTCTAACCAATCAGACGCGATATCGTCACTTCCGTCACTTCCGTTTCTTTTTAGGAGAAACGAAACATTTGTCGAACATAGCCGCCCAGGTCTACTGGGCCGGTGATGCGCGAACAAAAGGATCGTTCTACAACGCGAAAGTACTCCACATGGCAGGTGAGTAGAACTGAAGTACGGCGAGTGATGTACGAGTGCTTTGCATAACATGCTGACGGCTTAACTGCATTTGCAGCCAAAGCATTTCGTATAAAACGAATAGTCAAATCGAGCTCTCTAACTGTGGCGTAGCATAGCGGTTAAGGTGTCCGATTTGTACGCATGTGGTCGCGGGTTCAATACGCGGTAGTGCTGCTTTTTTTTTTTTTCTCGCACATTTTGTTTTATTGAGGCATTTGGCGATATTTATGAGTGCGTATAGCTTTACTCTTATATAAATGCTGCCCTTGTTGATGAAATTCCCTTGGCAGTGGCAGTCAGACGTCATCTGATGGACCATCAGACGTCATCACGTTCCACCAACGCTGCTGACTGGCAGTCAGTGTTCCAAATTACGTAGCTTGATGGAATTTTCAATAGGGCGGGTACCTTCGGTGACCTCGAAAAGGGGGGGGGGGTCACGTGACCCCCCCGCCGAGGTCACGTGACCCCCAGGTCACGCCTCCCCCCCCCAGGTCAGGTGACCCCCCCCATCAGTACCCTTCCCAACTCTTCCTCAAGAGCTGCCCTCTAATTCGGCGTTACAGGGAGTTGTAAACGGCTTTCATTTCTTTTATTTTGGTAATTAATAGTTTAATTACTTTTTTAGTAACTTCTACTCAAATTACACATTACTTTCGAATTTTAGTGGTAGGTTTGCCTATCAACGAACATTCCTGCACAAAAAGAATTAAGACCTTGGAATATCAGCTGATATTTGCAAAGATGGGGAAGCACGTGGCGTAGGCAGGGGATGAAGGGACCAAAACTCTCTCAAATATTTACGAGCGCTCTACTGCAACAACCCTGCTACGACGCGCAGGGAGCGGAGAGACACGTCGCAAGCGGAGGTCGGCATTTTAGGTCGCCCTCACTCACCCTCACCCTCTCAGCCACACTCACCTAAGCCCCTAGCTCACACTCACCCTCATAGCTACACTCAGATTCGACCCTTCACTCCTCCTTACTAAGCATCACGGCCCTCACGTCCCTCACGCACTCATGGCCCCCACGCCACTCACCACCCTCACGCCCCTCACGCACTCTTGGCCTTCACGTCCCTCACGTCCCTCACGTCCCTCACGCACTCATACCCCTCACACCCCTCACGCACTCATGACCGTCACGCCCCTCACGCACTCATGGCCCTCACGCCACTCACCGCCCTCATCACCCTCACGCACTCATTCCCTTCACGTCCCTCACGCACTCATACCCCTCACGCCCCTCACGCACTCATGGCCCTCACGCCACTCACCGCCCTCATTGCCCTCACGCACTCATACCCCTCACTTCCCTCATGCATTCATTGCCCTCACGCCACTCACCGCCCTCACGCCCCTCACGCACTCATGGCCGTCACGCCACTCAGGGCCTCTTCAGACGGGGCAGTTTCGCCCAGAAACTTGACGCCGCGACACAAGCAACACGGGCCGCCCGCGTTCACACGCAGCAAACAACTGCTGAGATTTGCCATCATCATAATGAAATTTTATTTTTCTTGCTCTATTTAGACGAAGAATTGCTCGCTATAAAAGTGTTTTTATGCATTTAAATCTGGTTGATAATAGTAATGCATCTTTCTAAAACAATTTATTTCCAAAAACGATCGATTTCACACCAGAACCAAGGCTTTTATTGTCATAATCACCGGCACGAGATATCACGTGAAAATATCGCGTCCCTGATTGAATGCAGCCGCTTCAAACGTCTTGGAATTGCTCCAAGTTGCTCTCTTGTTCCGAGCCGGACCCGAACTCAGCAATTCATGTCGATTTAGGGAAAGCGAGGAAACAACCCGCCAGCAACACCAAAATTGCTGAGAAAGTTGCTCCGTCTGAAAGGGCCTCGCACACTTACCGCCCTTACGACCCTCACGCACTCATGGCCCTCACACCCCTCATGCACTCATCGCCCTCACGGCCCTCACGCCCACATACCCCTCACGGCCCCCATGCCACTCACACACTCACCACCCTCACGCCCCTCACGCACTCATGGCCCTCACACCCCTCACGCACTCATACCCCTCACGGCCTTCATGCCATTCACACACACACCGCCCTGACGCCCCTCACGCACTTATGGCCCTCACGCACTCACCGCCCTCACGGCTCTCACGGTCCTCACAGCCCTCACGGCCCTCACTCACCCTCAGACTCATGAAATTTCCTGGTTCGGAAGCTCACTAACCCTCACCTCACCTGTGAAGATGAGGGTGAGTGAGGGTGAGTGAGGTCCCTCATGAGTGAGGTTTGCCGAGGCATGGTTGCAAGTGAGGCCGCGTAACTGCGGGCTTAGCGCCGAACATTGACGTTTCCTAGTTTCCCGAAGCTCAAGGAGACTTGACTCATTTGAAGAAAGGGCTGGTCCCCGCTTCTGCCCAACGTAGGAACTGTCGACCACCACGGGAGGTGTACGCAGTGCATCCTCACTCAGAGGAGCCAACAAAATGCGGAACCTGCTCTGAAGCTCATCTGGTGCTCCCGTAGTTTGTAGAGTACTTGAAGAATCGCGTGCTAAAGGGACACGTAAACGTGGCCTCATCACGTTGCCTTTCCTCCACATTCTCAATATATGCAGGTCTTCCAAGATTCGAAGATCGTTCGAAAAACCTTAGTTATTCCACCACCATTTTCACACAACAAAATTAATAAACAGGCAGTGTTGAGAAGTAATTTACGTGCATGGTAGTTAAAGTACAACTTTAAGTAGGTTTAGAAAACTTAAACTTTATTGGAAGTACACTCTTTGAGCATGTACTCGTACTTTCCTAAAGCATTTTTTTTTTGTATCTTACGAGGAAAGTACAACTCCCGACTTCAAAGTACGTTCCCCAAATTTGAAAACAAAAAATGGCGTATTGTCAGGTGAAGACGCACCATCGTTTTTCGAGACGTCATCTGGTCATTATTCTGAGTGAAGTAATGGCGGCTGTTAGGCCCTAACAAATAAGTGTACCGTAAGTAAAAGAACCACTCTATGGCGACTTGACCTTATCCAGTATTTGCCGCCCTTTCTGAAAAAAAAAAAAGAAACTGATGCACCTCCGATTACCCCTGGAGCAATACATACCTCTTTAAAAAAAATTGTATGAGGGATAAAAGGTCATCTTGAAAGATTGTGTTAAAAAGTTATTGTATTTTCCTTTGAAAGTACATTGCATTTATAGCACTTTACTT